CCCCAAAACCCCAAAACCCCAAAACCCCAAAACCCCAAGAGGTCAAAATTAATGTAGATTCAATAAATAGGAGAACGAACACATTATTGAATTATAGATATTTATAATGATCACTTCTTGAATTCTACAATAAGGCAAGTCATGTTGTCGCATCCGACTCCACCACTTGAAGCAACATCAGATGCACAAATACTATCTAGCATCTACTCAACCAATGATCCAAGGCTATCTTTACCTTTCTTTTTCTTAAGATTTTCTGCAACATAATTTACTGCTTCTTGAGAGCTTAAGCAATCCCATATCCCATCGCACGCGCAAATGATGAAATCTGAGTCATTAGTAATTTTTTCAACTGTTATTTCTGGGAATGCTGTAATAATTTAATCTTCTGCTTTCAAAATTGGATTTCCTTTGTATTCAAAGTCCCCAATAGCCCTCGAAAGTGCTAACATACCATTAACTCTACTCTCCTGCACAAATCCGTTTGCTCTTTCGATTCTTCTTTTCTCACCTGGGTTATCAGGTTTATGATCAATAGATAAGTCTTTGCATTTTCCTTTTTTGGATAATACCGATCTTGAATCCCCAGCATTTGCGCATAATATCTCGGTTTTAGTTATCATTACAACATTTGCAGTACATCCTGCGTATGATTAATCATATTGAGCTCCATTCATATCAATTCCACCTCCATTTGGATCTTGATGTGCTGAATTCTTCGCTAATTTCAATAACTCCTTCTTTCCTTCTTTACCAAGCATCATAGTATCCATTTTCAAAAATGCTTCCTATAAACTCACTCTATAATCCTTCTTTTTGAAGCTCTCAAGCTTCTTAAGTTCTTTAATAAAGTGATTTTTAACAAACAATGCTACTTCACTTCCTAGAAATATTTTATCGTATGAAAAATTCATACCTCCATGACCATCAAATACTCCGAATATTGAGACTCCATCTCCGATATCTAAATTAGCTATATGAGAATCCTCCATAGAGCGACGCCAGCCCTGCATTCCAACTGCAGCATATCTTAACTAATTTTATTAATTATTTTATAGCTGTTACTCTTCCATTTTCTGCTTCTTCAGTCACCTTTTATCTATTAGGTGTACTCAAGTACTCACCCATTTTTGCGATTGATAATACTATTATTAAATTTGAAAATTCAGTTTACCCTTCAAAATTCTTCCAGACGGGGTTTTGGGGTTTTGGGGTTTTGGGG